GCATGGGGTCAGAGGCAGCCCAGTCGGGCGGCGGCGTGGGCCGGGGCCGAGGCCGCCGGGCGTGCAGCGTCCGCCGGCCCGGTGCCCCAGGGCCAATCAGACAGACGGCGACAGGTCCGGCCACCCTGGACGGCTGCCCATTGAGCGGTCTTTATTGACGCGCGATAAATAGGCCGCCGTTCAACGCATGCATGCCCAGGCGGCAACGGCGGGCTCACCCGGGGTGGCGATGGCCTCAAGCATGAATGCAGGCAGCTCAGTCCAGATGCTATTGTTGGCAAGGGCCAGCCCGTGAATTGGCGCTTGGTTCCTGCAACATGATGAGATCCGGATTTTGGGGTTCAGTCTAGGCCGCATCGGGGCGAGATCACAGTAGACCCAACCAACCGGCTGCGTGAGGGCACGGAAGGCCGGGCGCAGCACAGGGCCGGCGGCCGGCCCGCGCGCGGTTCGAAGGGGCGCGTCCCGAGTGACCGAGCAGCGCATGCGGTCGGGCCCGGGCTGCACGGGCCCGATCCCGCAGGGTTTGACCGGCGCGCCTCCGCCGCTGCGGCTCGAGTCTGACTGACGGGGCCTTGGCCGGGCCACCAGGGGGCCGCCGCGGGAACGAGGCGAGCGAGTGGCTCACCAGGGCGTGTCCTTTATGTAGTGGAACACTCCGAGGTTGAACAGGGTGGGGGGCACGCCGCCCTCCTGCGTGGATGAGGATAGGGGTTTGGGGGGTTTGGGACTGGGCGCCCTTGCGGGGCCCTTGCGCGCCGCCGCGGCAAGGCGGCGCGCTCCGTCACACGCGTGCTCCTGGCTTCGCAACGGCCCGACACGCAAGTCCAGGGGATTGATCCCTGCGGATCAACACACGCCAAGGCAGCTGCGAGCGCCGCAGAGGCATCGCCGGGCGCGGAAAAAAAAACGCCCACCAGCTGGTTGTTCGAGGCGTCCAAAAAGATGATCCTGCTGCCCGTGTACGCCGGCGGCGGCGGCGGCGGCGGCTCCGCGGCCGCGGCGGCGGCCCCGCCGGTCGCGGGGTCGCGGGTGACGACGACGGTGCCGCCGTCGGCCGTCGGCGCCGCGACGGTATCGGTTACGGCCGAGGGGAGGCCGGTGGGGGGCGCTGAGCTGTCAGAGGTTTGGGGCATTGAGGCGGCAACTGCCTGGGCTGCCTGCGCCAGGTCGTCGTGGGTGGGAGTGAACACGTAGGATGAGGCGTCCCCCGCGGCGGCCGGGTCGGCGGCGTCGGCGTCGGGGGCGGGCGCGGCGCGGGGC